CCCCCCGCCCCCCCCCCCCCCCCCCCCCCCCCGGATACTTGGGTTCCCTCTCATCCACTGGGCTGGGGCCCCCAGATGCTCGGGTTCCTTCTCCCCAGCAGGGCTAGGGCCTCCATATGCCTGGGTTCCCATGGGAAATGGTGGGTTTCCCCTTGCAGGCAAGCAGCATCCTAGCCTGTAAGGAGTTCTGCTTTGAGCTGCTGGGAGTGAGACCCGGGGGCTCTGTGTGCATGTGTGTGGCTGCATGCATGCGCATGGCCAGGAAAACAGCTGGGGAGTGGGATGGAGCCATAGGCAGCTCATCCAGGGAGCGGTGGGCAAGGGGTGACTCCCCGCTACTGCAAGCACCCCCTAGGGGAGGCATGTGCCCCTCCTCCATAATTGTGCATGGGGCAGATGTGGGCTGCTTGTTGTAGGCTTCGGGGCTCTCCACCCTGCTTCCTTTCCCTTGGGAGCCCCGCGCCAGCCACACTCCACCTGCCCACCTGGTAGCAGTGGGGGTGGTAAGTTGTGCTCCCCGCTGCTGGGTGGGCAGGGGATATGCAACTGGTGTGGGGTTTCCAAGGCAAAAGCAGCGGTGCGGAGAGCCACAAACCCACAGTGGGCAGCCCACATCTGCCCTTGCCTTGCTCAACTCTGCCCTGCTTAAAAGCATCCCTGTGCTTAAAAATGGTGGTGGCAGTGCTTGAACTAAAGCTCACTTGTTGAGCTTTAGTTCAAGCACCCCTGCTGCCATTTTTAAGTGCTGGGATGCTGATATGTGTGACACCGGAGGCTGCTGGAGCATGCTTAAAAAAAAGGTTTATTTATGTCAGTACATTTTAAAGTACTGACATAAATTAACCTTTTTTTGGCATGCTCCAGCAGCCTCTGACATCACATGTAACCAAATCTGTTATCGGATCGGTATTGGCGGAGATGGCTGGGTAATAATCGTCTGTCAGTATCGGACAAGAAAATCTTTATCGGTGCACCGCTGTAGGAGTTGGCAACCTATGGCACCTGCAGTGCAGTGGTAGCTAGGTTGTAGTGTCTGTTGCTCTGACTTGAACTGGATCAATCTAGCCCACAACCTTAAAAGGTTGCTGACCATTGACTTGGGGAACTGGGAGAGAGACAGAGACCCAACCTGGCTGAGGAGAAAGTTTTGGGTTTTTTGGGTTTTTTTGCGGACATGACTCTTTAAGAGGGAAATTCCTTGAGAGAGAAACTCCGTTCCATTTCTATCCCCACCCACAAAGGCAACTAGATATTTGCATGTACAATACTTGGGATGCAAATTCTTTGCAGGAGTGTCTGTCTGCAGGTTTATCTGTACAGAAGCAGACAAGTGTTACTACATAACTCAGAAAACCTGTTCCAGAATTTAAATGTCACAGGAATTTCTTGTCATTAGCATTACTTTTGCTGATTAAGTCTTTCATTTTCTATAGCTAGAATTTAATATTTTTCTCCTTTAGTAGTAGTATGCACATAGTTAGTTTGCTTTGGGACTAATTGTTGAAAGATGGGCAATTGCTCAAAGCTTTATATCATCCCCATTATGGATTACTTTGCTCTTTTACTGGTTACCTTCAAGCGTTTGTAGTTTGGGGATTATAAATTTGGAGGGGTTTTCCTTTAGCCCACGTTAGTGTTGTAATTGACCTGAGTATATGGATTTGCAGACCTTTGTTTTCTGAGGAGGCTGGAAAATGGAGGATGCAAAAGAGTAGAGGGGGAAGAGACACCTTCCCTTTCTAGCACTAGTGTAAATCAGTGCTGACATGTAAATCGCACCGTGGAGTAAGTTTACTACAGCACAAGATCCAGGGTTAATTACTCCATAGTAGTGCTGTCTGGAGAGCTTCAATATTACTCAGTTGCCTGGGCTTCGGGGAGTTGGAGGGGGCGGGGGGGGAGCTAAAGCACCTTGCTAGCACTTGCATAGTGGAATCCCTATGCACTTTATAGACTCGAATCTAACTTAGTCCATCTGCTTTGTGATACAGGTAGGCAGTGGTTGGAATGCTTTTCCATATAGGGAAGAAGAGGTACAAAGGGACCTTTTGGAGTTGATAATATTCATAACGTTACAAAGAATCCTTAACGGCTGTATTCAATCAATGGTCCAAAAAACTAGGTGGATCCCACTAAATAATTGTGATCACTTACCATTCCTGTAATACTAATTTTGGTGGTGTCTTTTCTTTAGGAGTAGCCCACCGAAGCCAGAGCAGCGAAGGAGTGAGTTCACTTAGCAGTTCTCCATCCAATAGCCTTGAAACGCAATCCCAGTCTCTTTCCCGGTCCCAGAGCATGGATATTGATAGTGTCTCCTGTGAGAAAAGGTAAAGAATATTACTTCTATTAATAGGCAAGGATTGCACTTAGACTGAGCATCCAGACCGTCTGTATACAGAGGGAAATATGCTCTTATCTCCTATTTCCAGTCACGTTATTGTATGTCAAGCTTACAGTGTAGTGTCACTTCCTGTAGTATGCAATATAATGCTGTCTTCACTAGTTTTACTGGAGTCCTTTCTACTAAAGTGATGCAAGGCAGAAGGTCATCTTGGGTGCTATGAGTGACTAACATGCTGAGAAGTATGATTCAATAATTTTATTTCTTTAAAAACCATAGAAAAGGATGGATATACATTTTTCCTTGCCTGCTGAAGAAATACAGTGACACATTTCTTAAAGCAGTTGTAATGTGAGAGGCAGACCCAAAAGACCCATATAATGATTAGAGACTTCTAATTGTTACATTTATGGATTGGACTTTTCCTGTTTCAGCCCTCGTTCCTGCACTGCTTTCACTTAAGATGACATTCCTTCAGTCAGCCTCTTAAAAAGGACTGTCTGTGGGTTTCCAGAGGCTGATGGACTCTTCTCTTCTTTCCACTTACAGTATGTCTCAGGTGGATGTAGATTCAGGAATTGAAAATATGGAGGTCGATGAGAATGATCGCAGAGAGAAAAGGAGCCTGACTGATAAGGTTGGTTGGTTATACTGTCTTTTTGCTGGTCTCTTTCGGACCAGATGTGTGAGCTTTGTATGGTTATCTTGAGCTCTTGCTTTTCATAGAGTATCTACTCAGGTTAAACAGCCTAATGTTTAAATGTAGGGCATTTTTATCTTTGTTTTCCCTACAATGTGTGCTTCTGTTTCATACAGTGTTACATTTGTTTTACAAAGTCATTAGCTCAGATGTAATCCTGTGCTTCTCATTTGTATCAGTCAGGCAAGTACAGCCATACATAGACACTCACAATGCTGGTGTGCTCTCTTTAATTTTTCTATTTGCATGGCTTGGTTTCTGTTGCATCTCCAAAGGGTTATAACAGTATTGAAGAAATTTCCCTGGTAGGAATTGCCCTTCCTGCAGGTCTTGGAGGAAAGTGGCTAAGTGACAATATTCAGATGGGCAGAAAAAGTGATGTGAATTATTCCTGTTTCTGCTCAAGCAGATCAAAACTCCCCTCCCCAAATTCCCTGTTTAAAAAGTGTTTCAAATGTGGAACTCTTTCAGATATGGGGAGATGGTACATAGAAAACAGATAGTGTATGAAATAGGCTTCTGCACAAAACCTCTGGCTGTCCATCTGCTGAGTTTTGGAAATATCCTTCTGAAGTGTGTGTTGGAAGAGGAGTGAGGGGGTTGAATACTGTACCTCACCACAATGTAGTCTTCAGCTCCCAAACCTGGTTCTTTCAGAATGCGAATTAGGTCTAAGCAAATACTTGTTCTAGGAAATAACTGATTCTGTTTGGAAGCCTGTTCCATGTCCTTTGTCAAAATAATACAGATTTTTTTTATGTGCATCATCATCATTCTTCTTTCTTCAACAATAAATAAATACCAATCTATCCCATCACTTAGGCAAGAGATGGGACCTGAAAGAACAAAATAGATGGGGGGAAAAAGTAGATCCAAAGCCCTGCTTCAGTCTGCAGCCTGGTTTCTCCTTTTTGACTTTGTTCCATTCTAAATAGAGACTTGGGAAGTGGGATGTGGGTGTGAACGTAGGGAGGAGAGGGGTCCTCCTCACTACTGTGGTAGTGCTCACTCAGCCTTTGTTTATGCCTGCATTTTTGAGTAATAAGTTCAGTGGGTAAAAATGTGGCTTCTAGCCACATAGAATTAATTCTGTTGCAGAGTTGGTGGTTTTTGGGGGGCTTTTTGTGAGCGGTTGCTGGTTGCAGACCAGGCAATCAGACTGCCTGCATCATGCTGCTGTAGAATGGGTAGTTGGGAGCTGAGGGCAGTGTTGAATGAAGGGGAAGGCAGCAGAGAGTAGGAAGAAGTTTTGCAAACTTGACTCGTTTCCCTTGTTTTTCGGGTAATTTTGAATAGATAAGTTGGAGAGTCTATTTATAAGCAGGGAACTTCCAGCCCTGTCTTTTGTGTGGAAAACTGTGTTGATGTTATTTTGAAATTATTTTCATATTTTGATGTCAGTACTAAAGTCTTTTTGTGTACGTTCTTTTATGAAACACTAATATAAGTTTAATGTACTTCAGAGTGCACTGTCCTGTTCTGGATTACTTGATTGCTGTAGAAGAAGGATGAAAAAATGAGAAATGTTAGTTAATAGATAACTGCCTGCGTTTTGGGGCAGTGGGGAGACTGAGGAAATCTCTGCTGGATCTGGGGTTACCCTGTGAGCATTCATTTGTGTCTTTTTTTTATGTTTGTGCTGCTGCTTGCTTTCTACACCTGCCTTTCAAGTCTCCTGTTAGAGAGTAGCTTCTTCAGAAGTTATATTATCACGCTATCTTTAAAAAGTGCCTTTTGAATATCAGATATGTTCTCTCCCTAAAAAGCATGCCGTATCCTTGCAAGAAAATGGTCCCCAGGACCTGATAGACCTTTTCCCTGTCTTAACTTCTGTGGCTTGAAATGATATTGGCTTTTTTTGGTCATATTGTGATCTGGCCCTTGTATTTAGTGTCATATAGTGCTAACGTGCATTGGAAATTAACCTATAGAAAAGTGAGAATTAGGGGTGCACCAGTTATATCGGTTGATTATCGGATCAGCACTAATAAAAAGAGAAATGATGTTATTGGCTGTCGTCTTTTTTTGGTCATTGTAGCCGATTATTACAGCCGCGTGCCTGGAGCACCCTGGTGAGCATACCCCAGTCCCTATGCCCCACTGCCACCCCAAGTCCATGGCAAACTACAGATCCCAGCAAGCAGTGGGAAGTGGAGTGGGGGCTGGGAAGTGGTCACAAGGTGCTGCACTTGGGAACAAAGGGACTGTTACTGGCTCCTGCTGCTACTGCTGCTGCCATGGTGATGCTGCACATGCAGCAGGGGGGTCCTGAGCACCAGGGCTGCTGCGCAGATGTTGGGCTGCGCACAGGTGGGATAAGACATCATGCGAGGGATATTCTGCTAAGCCAGGCACCAGGTGCCTTTGCAAAAGTGCCTTCTTCCTGGTGGCTGGAGGAGCTTGGCTGCATGGGGCCTGCTGTCACTGAGGCAGTGGTTTGCTCTGGGGCTCCAAATGTGCCTGGCCCTGCTGTCTGTATGAGGGTCCACCCCACCCACCCGGGCTGGCAGCATAGGCTGTGCAGAGAGCGTGGCTGCAGGCAGGAACCATAGGTGAGGGGCAACGTGCATAGGAATAAGGCTGTCACTACCTTTCTCATCAAGGGCTGGAGTAGGGAGGAGGTGTGTGTGTGAGATAAATGCAAAACAAACAAAAAAGGTTTATGTCAGTAGTTTAAAATGTCTTGAACTATCACTAAATATCAGTTATTGGATCTGCAACGGCTGATATGGCTGGCTACTCATCCGCTATTGGTGTCAGCCAAGAAAATCTTTATCGGTGTACCCCTAGTGAAAATAGGGGCAGAAGGGTACAAGTTATTCCAGAACCAAGTGGTTTAGATGAATTACGGTGTTTTAGGTTGCTAGCTGCATCAAAACATCCTTGTTTTCCGACAGGGAAAGAGAACAGAAGGGACAGGACTGGGAGGAAAGGTGTGGGGGGGTCGCCCTCTATGTCAAAGAGCAACTCACTTCATCAGGAATTAGCTTTGGGGCAGAGGAAGGTCAGGCAGAGGCAGTGTGGGTCAAACTTCAAGGGGGGCAAAGCGAAAGGGATCTTACAGTGGGTGTCTACTATAGACCACCCTGCCAAGAGGTTGAGTTGGACCAGAAGTTCTCAGTACAGCTTATGGAGGCAGTTAGGTCTAGGGACATCATTGTCATGGGTGACCTAAACTACCCAGACATCTGCTGGGAGGAACAGTCAGCCAGGTCTGACCATTTGCATAGGTTCCTAGCTGAAATACAGGACCTCCCCCTTATCCAGGAGGTACACAGCCCCACTAGGGGAGGTGCCTTGCTGGACCTGGTCTTGGCCACTGGGGATGACCTGGTGAGGGGACTGCAGGTCCTTGACCACCTGGGTGACAGTGATCATCGCCTGCTGGGATTCACCATCCAGCGTAGGGTGTTGAGGGATTTTATACCAAGACTAAAGCCCCTGACTTCAGAAGGGCCAACTTCAACGAACTTAGGAGATTAGTGGGGGAGGCAGTGGGGGGCCCAAAAGGTAGAGGATATGGGAGTCTATGAGGGATGGTTGTACCTTAAGGGTACAGTCCTCCAGGCTCAGAGTGTGACAGTCCCCGAGAGAAAGAAGGGGGGTAAGAGTGCTCTGAAACCCCCATGGCTCAGCAAAGGCATTCGAGAATGCCTGAGGGCCAAAAGGGAGGCGTACACCCAGTGGAAGGGACGGGCTATCATCAAGGAGGAATACTCCTCCTTGGCCTGTGAGTGTAGGAGGGCTATTAGGAAAGCTAAGGCGGGGGTGGAGCTCAGGCTAGCGACCAGGATTAAGGACAACAAAAAGTCGTGCTTCAAATACATTGGGAGTAAGAAGAGGGCACTGGGTAATGTAGGGCCCCTGCTAGACTCAAATTGTAATCTTGTGGCTACGCCAGACGAGAGAGCCAAAATTTTTAGCAAGTTCTTTGTCTCTGTTTTCTGAGCAGGGACCAGGACAGCTCTCCCACCACAAGTAGGGGCAATCTTGGGAATAGCACTGCCAGGCCTCAGGTCTGCACAGATGTAGTTAGGGATCTTCTGGAAGGGCTGGATGTTTTCAAATCTGTGGGCCCCGATGCCCTCCACCCTCAGGTGTTGAGAGAGCTGGCGGGGGTCGTTGCTGTGCCCTTGGCCCGGCTGTACAAGCAATCGTGGTCCGCGGGCCAGGTGCCCGGAGATTGGAAACTAGCTAATGTGGTCCTCATTTATAAGAAAGGGAGGAAGGAGGACCAAAGAAACTATAGGCCCATAAGCCTCACATCAGTCTTGGGGAAAATCCTTGACAAAATTATCAAGGATCACATCTGTGAGAGGCCAGCAGGGGAGATCATGCCCAGGGGAAATCAACATGGGTTCTTCAAAGGCAGGTCCTGCCAGACCAACCTGATTGTCTTTTATGACCAGGTAACTAAATCCCTGGATGATGGTGTTGCCGTGGACATAGTCTTTCTGAACTTTAAGAAGGCCTTTGACACTCTCTCACCCCGTTCTCATTAATAAATTGAGCGTCTGTGGCATTGATGCCTACACAGCTAGATAGGTCAAAAATTGGCTGATGGGGCACACCCAGAGAGTGGTGGTGGACAGGTCGTACTCGACCTGGCAGGATGTGAATAGTGGGATCCCCCAGGGCTCGGTACTGTTCAACATCTTCATCAGCGACTTGGACAAGGGGGTGGAAAACACGTTGTCCAAGTTTGCCGATGACACCAAGATGTGGGGAGAGATAGGCACGCTCGAAGGGAGAGGGAGGCTGCCATTAGATTTAGACAGACTACAGAAGTGGAAGGATGGTAACAGGATGGCGTTCAGTGTAGATAAATGCAGGGTGCTGCACCTGGGGAGAAGGAATCCACAGCATACATACAAGCTAGGGAGCTCCCCCCTTGTGAGCACAGAGGCAGAAAGGGATCTTAGAGTCATTACTGACTCCAAGATGAACTTGAGCTGCCAATGCCAGACCACAGCCAGCAAAGCCAACCTCACCTTGTCGTGCATCCAAAGATGCATCTCAAGAGAAGAGGCTGAGGGACCTGAATCTGTTCAGCCTCAGCAAGCGGAGGCTGAGGGGAGGTTTGGTGGCTGCCTACAAACTTGTTAGGGGAGATTAGCAGCACATAGGAAGGGCCCTATTCCCCTTAGCAGCACCTGGGGTGACGAGGAACAATGGCCAGAAGCTGCTGGAGAACAGGTTCAGGTTAGAGATTAGGAGGCACTATTTCACTGTTAGGGTGGCTATGATCTGGAACCAACTTCCTAGGGAAGTGGTCCTCGCTCCTACCTTGGGTAAATTCAAAAAGAGGTTGGACAAACCCCTGTCTGGGGTTGTGTGATCCCAGCATGTACTCCTACCAGCGGCGGGAGGTCAGACTAGATGATCTGTTCAGGTCCCTTTTGACTACTATGAAACTATGAAACAGGGAAAAAATAACAACTGTATTAGGCAGTCACTTAAAAGGTGCCCAGTTGCATGTCCATCCCAGTAAAGGACAAGTGGGAACTGGGGTGCTTCACACTCTTGGACTCAAAGTATAGAGTTATCTACAGGGAAATGAAAGGAAGAGAAAGAAAATATTACTGAATTTTACACAGCAGATGTTTTCACTGTTCTTCACTGACTTTCTTCTTTTTAATTAGTCTTAGCCTTATGAGGTGTGATTCGGAGGGCAAAGGGAAATGATTTTGTGCATGTGTGTTCTGGAAATGCTTTTAAATAGTCTACCCATGGTGGAGATGAAGATGATCTTAATCTTCCATTGATACCCTAATTTCTGGTTTCTAAACCTTTCCATTCATCCTTGTGTTAGGAATTATATATGGTGATGACAGCTTTAGGGGAGCAACTCCAGAGGGGCTTGTTTTGCCTTGGCCTTTAACATAGTTAGCTTGATGCCATTTAATGAAGGGAGAGGGGACTGAGACAGATGCTTGAGAACTTTTTCCTGTCTGTTCCACTTTATACAGAGAGGTAGTGTCATGAAGCTGTCTGGAAAAAACATGATGAAATAAATAGCAGTTTTCAGTAGGCACTTTTCCCAGCATTAGGACTAGAAGTTTACACTTAGGATCCATTTTCTCAGTTATGTATTACTTTTGTTTTTTCTGTTCTCTGGCACACTGAGCTCTCATCCAGTGATTGGAGGTGTTCAGATTGTTTTGGGGTATCAGTGTGTGAAAAATGTGATTTCACTTACAGCAGAGCATCTGCTTAGGCATCCCTGTGAGTTCATGCCTCATTGTAGTAGTCAGGGAATATTGCATTCCCACACCTCCGTAATTCTTCAGCCATTCTCTTCTGTTGCCATTTGTGGCTGGCTCCCCTTCCCTGGCAGCAATCTGTAGCAAGGGAAGCAGAGGAACATCGTTCTTTCCCACTTTGCGCGCACACCTTTTGTGCCCCCGCCATCGGGTGTGCACCCTAGAGTTTGGGAAATGCTTCCTGAAAGTTTAAATTCTATGAAAGATGCTGCCATTTGTTTCTGAGCCCTATTTCACACCTGCTTAAATGGATGCAAATGTGTTCATCAGCTTCAGAGTGGGTTGGATTGGGCCATGAATATGCATTTTTCTGTATTTAATGTTCTAAACTAAATGTGCTTCTAACTGCTGTGTAGACACAATTATTCTGGCTGGTCTGTTTTAGGAGGTATAGATTGTGGGAGGGAAAAGAGGAATTCTTTTAGGGGCATTAAATCCTTGTTATCCTTTTTGGGATTTTTTTAAGAAGAAATTTACGGCAAGGAAGTCCCTTCTGCTGTATGCAGACGTGAAGTAAATTTAAAATCCCTGTAGAACTCCTTATAAGGAGTAGACATTTAATTGATAACCAGGTTTAAAAATTCTTTTCTAGGTATGCAGTTTTCTCAGAAGGTGCTTAGCACCAGATTGGTGTGTGCATTCATTTTATTTGACGTCTTAGTACAGTTCTTTTTTTAAAATAAATTTTGACAATTGTATTTCTCCTGTTAATAACCACCTAGAATCTGTTACCAGGGCATTTCTGCAGTTTTCAAACATGCAAGCAATCTTGCAGAGTGTTTCCCATAAAGAACTGCTAGATAAGGATTGGGTTTTTGTTTCTAATGGCTACCAAAGCCCATTTAAGCTGTGGTGTGGTGCTCATGAGACTGAGACGTATAACCCAAATATTAATGCAAAAACATCCCTCTTCTCTCAACAAGGAGCCTCCATCAGGATCTGAGGTATCGGAGGAGCAGGCCTTACAACTGGTCTCTAAGATTTTTAGAGTCTCCTGGAAGGATCGAGACAGAGATGTAATTTTCCTTACTTCGCTCTCTGTGCAATTTAAGCAGAACCCAAAAGAAGGTAGGAGCATCAGCTGCTTGTGCTGGTTAGGACATGAGAGAAAGTTGTTTAATTGTAAAGATGTGTGGTTGGCTTGTTGCCTAGCTGCTTCAGCTCTAGCCTTTTATTCATCCACAGTAATAATGGTGGTGCTGAGGTGTTGCCAAAGCTGTCTAGCTTCAGCCTTTGCCGTAGTTTGCTGTACTTTTTTATATAATGAAGACGACATATCATTTTGGGGTATGATGAAGGAACATGGTCTGTTGCAATTGGGAACAAGAGTACCAAACTTGTGGAAACAGAAGAAAACTTAGTGGTTAGGTGACATGTGAAATACCTTGTGTGTAAAGGTGAAGAATGCTCTTCTAACTCTCTTGCTATCCTTTTCACAGTGTACTCAGATTTTAAGGACTTGATTGGTCAGATTTTAATGGAAGTTCTGATGATGTCCACTCAGTCAAGAGATGAAAACCCGTTTGCCAGCCTGACGGCTACATCACAGCCAATTGCAGCAGCTGCCCGGTCACCTGATAGAAACCTGATTCTAAACACTGGCTCCAACCCAGGAACTAGCCCTATGTTCTGTAGTGTGGGTTCCTTTGGTTCTGGTTCCTTATCCAGGTAACTTTGGTTGCACTTGAATATTGATTTATATGGGGATGGGGAAGTTTAGAAATGCCCTAGCAACCTTTAAATGAAAAACGCTTCATTCTGCTGCACCAACATGTTCTTTCCCTGCCCTTTTGGATTATGCTGCCACAGTTTTATATTTTTATATATATACACACACACACTGTGTAATTTAGGGCCCATCCTCAGCAGGTGGAAATTGAGAAAATTGAAATCATATGACCAGTGTCCCCAGCATCAGCCCATTGAGGAATTGGCCTATAACTTCTAAATTTCTATAATTCCAGCAGTGAAATCGATATTACTTAGCCTTAATAACCAGAGGTGACTATTAGTAGGTAAAAGCACAAAAGATGCTGTTATGGATACATATAATTTAACCAAGCAGTTAGCAGCAGGATTTTTACTATTGCTCATTTACGTCTTTCTCTCCTTCTGTGCATCCTAAATTGCTTCTTTTTTTCCCCCCTCTTTCTTCCTTAACTGATTTAGTCTCTATGGGACTAGTCCAGCTTCTAATATCAATTTCTCAAGCCATGTGCCAATGTCTGGTTCATCTCCTACCCTACCAGCCAGTTCAGTTGCCACTACATCTGTACCTTCCATTTCTGTCAGCCCTCACGTCACAGCAGTAAGTCCTTCTGGAGTCCAGCCCTCATCTCCGAGGTACCGCCCATACACTGTTGCCCATTCTACGGGCACATCAGCTTCTCCCATCCCACGCTCCTTGAGTATCTCCATCCCATCTAGCTCACCAAGTCCTCCAGCCATAGCTACCAGCCCTCAAGCCATACCAGTCAGCTCATCCAGACAGAGGCCTGCAACTATGGGCCCACCTGTGTTTCCTCCTTCGCCAAGTACCATGAGCAGGCGTTCTTTACTAAACAGGACTTCTCCTAGGTATTTCACAAGCACAAGTGTGTTACGTGTGCAGTGCAGGGTGTGGCATAATTTGGAAGAAGTTGTGTTTGTACTGAGCTTACATCTTACCTTACTAACTAGTAGTTGATGTTTATGTTTGTTTTTGAGCTAACATGTTGACTTGCTAACAAGTCCTGGCTGCCAATCGGCTAAACCTGTTTCTGCCAGCATTCAATACGGAACTTAATTGATTGAAAGGCAGCAATGTTGTTGTACATTTTCCACTTCCTTTTACCTCCCACTTCAGGCTAATGATCGTCCTTCAATTTAAATTGCAGTTCAGTCACTCAGGCTGAATAGTTTATCAAACCCGTATCTGCTTTGAAGCCAATTTTCTCTGTGGATCTTCAATCAGTTTGTCCAAGGCTTGTGCTAGCTGGGCTGTGTCAGAGTCAACTCTGGTGTATGGATTTAAATGACCGATTGTCCTGCCTTTGTCAGCCAGGCCAGGCACTCCTGGACTGTCTTTGCTAGCTGCTTCCAGGGTCCTTCCCACCTCGGTGGGAGGGAGAAACCAATGAGCTGACTTGTTGCTGCTGTCATGTTAAAACTGAGTAGCTCAGAGGTTTATTATTCCTTATTTTTCAGTGAGATCCAAGGACTCCTGTTTATGCTCTAACTTGTACAGAGTCTGTAGACACTTGGCTAGCTTAAGTTATGAGTGAATATTTAATCGTTTGTGATGTGAATAACTTGTGGCCAGCCATGTCATGGAGCATGTGAGCACAGTCTTGGTTTTTCTAACATTGTGGATTGTGCTAACCGTTGTTTGCCCATTTAAGAAGAAAGTTTTGGACAGCGAACTTAGCAGGAGGCTTTGTGGCATTTTTATTTTGTGTTTTTGTTGTTGTTATGTTTTCCTCTTTAAAAATCTCTCTGTTCTCTGATGGCCTTTTTGCTTTTGTTGCGGTAGTATGTACGACAACCCTTTCTCACTCCTCTTCCTTGGCGTTTCTGATGTATCTGAGGACAGTAGTGATGAAGAAAATGAAGATGATGATTTTTCTTGTGTCCAGTTTGGGTCCAGGTATTGGAGGAATGGACTAGAATGTAAACTGCATGTCTGGGTGCTTCAGAACTAACAGTCTGGGAAGTCGTAAGCATTCTTCAGGAAACTTTGGAAATAAGGAAAGGGAGGAGATGACCTAGACAGTTCTTAATGGAAGATGGAGTATAAATATGAGTAACGATGAGTCTTAGTTAGCCAGCTCTTTTTGAAAAGGTGACTCGGAATAAAAGAAATATTAGTCATGTTGCCCTTCAGTTTTAATGACCACATGGTCTGAAAGTGGAACTCGTTACTGAATGTGTGGTTACAAGCAGTTTTGTTCCTCAGGGATTATACCTTTCAGAATTCCTACTGAACTCTAGAAAATGAGGGTAGAGGGTGTCTGAGAGAATGGACCTATTTTCCAGCCATAATTTCAGCTGATACAAAGTAGTGTAGTTTCATTGAAGTGAATGGATCTATGGCAAATTATACCAGTGGGGGATGGATACGCCTCCTATTCCCTGAGCAAGTGGACCTGGAAGTCAAGTGCACAAATGGCAATTAGCAGCCCTGGAGAGGATGGGCAGTACAAACAAATGTATATGGGACATTCTAGGACAGAGAAAATAGCTTATGCTGAATCAGAAACTTGGGCATCCTGCCACAAAGTCCCTTTGGTTTGCATGGCATGAAAATACACCAGTAAAAAATAAGAATGGATTTTGAGTAGCTGTGTTTAGTGGCTAACCCATTAGCCATGCCATAGAACTGGCTTTGTGTTGGGTTGGCCAGACAAGATGACCATGAGGGACAGAACCTTCTGGTTCCGTACACGTGGTTTGAAGATCTGTACGTGGCTGAAAGCTTATCGCAATCGCCCAGCGTGTTTGCCTCAATGTAGCTTCCAAAATGAAAAATAAGCAATTACCGTGCATAAACGTTGGCCATTCCTAAGTCGTCATCTTCCTCGTCTGGCCACTGTTCCATTCTTCCTGTGTCCTGCCTAAAATATAAGTTCTTTAGGCATTTGAACCCTCAGTAAATGTGTTTGGCCCTTTTCTTTTATCTTATGTCTATCCAAGCAGAGTAAAAGGGGAATGGAAAAACATGCGCTTTGGAGGAGGAAAACCATTTGGAAAGCAGTAGCTCTATAATCTGGCTAGCATATTGAAGGCTTGTTACAGATACTTTGTCACTTGGTTGATAATAACTAGCCTTCGATATAGCTGTAGGTGATGACCCTTACTCGCAGTCAACAATCTAGTTGTGGTGATCCTTTCACTGTTTGTGCTTATTAGTAGACCTGTTCCAATCTAATTTTAAAATGATGAGATCAAATTCTAAAAAGGCTGATTTTTTTTTTTTTTTTTTAATCCAATTAAAGAAATCTAACTCCTTTTTGAAATTTCTTCCTATAGGAAGTGAGTTAGGATTTACAAATCTATAGAAGCCACAGAATAATTAGAACATTTCCTGTTGGGGATTACCCAGTCCTGCACTGGGTTTAGAGAATATAGTAGAAGGACCTAATAGGTTTCTCTCTGGCTCTTATGGCCTTTGTTTTACATATTAATGTTGGAATATAACAACTTTGTTAAAGTTATACGCTGTCAATTTGAGATGCTTCCAACAACTATTTAGAGAAACAAGCTTATTAAACTTCCATCTTCCAGTTCACACTGAATGATTTCACGAGAAGTACTTGCAGCTATAAGCTTGCATTTTGCGTTCAGGGAATTGCGGATTACGTTTGTAACCTTTTGGCTTCATTTCAAACTTAATTCCTGTTCTGTTGAAAATTTTAAGTCAAGAATTAGATGCTGTGATTCATGCACTATAAGAACTGGTGGGATTGCCACGTTTCAGGTGCCTTTGCTCATGCATTATTTCTTGATCTCTTACCAACTGCCTTAGAATGTCATTATGATCATGATGATTTTGTATTTACACCACAAATTGCATTTTGAAAGTTACCATAGTACTTTGTTTATATAATAAACATTGACAGCTGTGCTCAGGGGTAATTTCAACCACTGCTGAAATGAAGTCTCTTTTAGAGTAACTGCCTTTGGGAAGACTAACCTTTAATAAAGTGAGAAAAACTTGTACAAGTAAAAGGGGTGACCTTTGGGGTGGAGATGAATAATCCAAAGGACAGGAAAGAGCATATGCAAGAAAAAAATATGGATGTATTATTTTATTCTGTGCTGAAATACTGCACAGTACCACCTCAGGCAAAATTGGTGCATGGTTGATTGCCTTAAGTTGGCAAACAAGAAGTATTAATTAAAATGATCTTTAAATTTGCGTTTGAATGTCTTGATTATTTTTCTATAGAGTGCACTTAAGTGGTATACCCTTTTTACTAAAGAGAAGGGAAAAGATATCAAAACATGGATTGCACTTAGAACCATCTGATTTATTAAACAGAAGAAGCTTACAGTGAGTTGCTATAGGAGAAGTAAGGGGAAGTATAAAGGGAACGTAGCTTTAAAAAACCCCAAACAACCAACATTCCCCCCCCACCCCTGCAAAATAAAACCCCACTACAAGTGATGGGAATTGCAGTCCTGCCAGACAGTGTGAAAGAATAAATACAGTTCTCATGCTTCCAGCTGAACGTGGTGTCTAAAGGAGGAAATCTCATGGCTTCTACTGCTTGGTGCTACCAAGCATGTGTTTTCTCAGAAAATTCTCTATAACATATTGCTACAGCAGTAGGATTTGCTGAGCACTGCCAAGCTGAGTTCAGGGTACAGATGACCTCTAAAGAGGCATTTTGGAGTGTGCGCAGTCAAAGCTAAGACAGGAAAATTGTGCTGGCTCCTAGAAGGGTCAGCTTGGTAAACATAGTACCAGAAGTTTACTTGGGATGAAAACAGGAGATTGAAGATTTAAAAATGGAGATGGTGTGTGGGCCTTGAGGTTACAAAACCATTTCTAACAAGTACACACTGAAAGTGCAAATTTTTAATTTCAGCTAGCAACCACATTTTTCCAGCATGAAGATGCTGTCAGGAATGCTTCGTAGAGGAAAAGGGTTGGTTAGTGCTGACTGTGTGATAATAACTATGCTTTTTCTTATACGAATCATTGCTGGTGGTTCAAACATCGTAGGTAATTACATGATCTGATGCCAGCGTTCATTTATGGGGGGACTCTGCTTCATCTGTTGTATGCCAGTAAGACATAAATCCTTATACAACTTTTGGGTTATTTTTTCTTGTTCGTATGAGAAAAGAGCTTGTACATACACACCTGATTTGCACCTGTTAATTTGACAAGGAATTGAGTTATTGTTTTCAGACTTGAACTACTTACGAAAAACACAGATGGACTCTGGCACCTTCCTGAGGAAGAACAATCTAATCCAGCAGTTGGGCTGCTGCCCTGAGACCCCAGAAACCTTGTGTGCTTTGCCACAAGACTTCCTGTGTACTGTTGGGCCAGTCATGTAGGCCCAGATCCAGAATGGATTTTTGCACCGTTTAGTATAATGGATCTAGGTGCCCACATACCTTTGTGCACTTAGGCATTACTGTCTGTGCCCCACTTTCCCATCGCTAAAAATAGGGACGTTATTATCCCATCTCCCACAGATGCTGTAATAAGTATATTTAAAGAGGGTGAGCCACTAAACACAACAGAGATAGGAGTGAGACATGCCAGGACCGAAGATAGAATCCAGGTTTTCTTGACAGGAGCTGTATTGTTTAGTTAAAACAAACTATTATATTATTTTGACAGTATTGAGGTAAAAAAAAATAGAGATGGATTAATATGCAAGGATAGGCTGCTTGTTTAGACCCCCCTTCTATTTTCTGTGCTGCTGTATCCCTTTTCCTGGAGACACTTTTCTGTTTTTGTTCTCCAGGCCACTTCTTTCCAGGTTGGTTCTACCTCGCTACACGTTTTCCAGCTTACTGATCCTGGTGTCCTCCACAGAATTGGATGCTATATAAGAAGATGGGAAGCAATTATGTAGAGAGTTTCTGTGCCTTTTTCATTAATATTGGTTCTAGAAGCCATGGAAGAGTGCTGGAGTGGGGTAGAACTAGCTTGAAGCATCACTTTCCGAGATCGATGCATGCTTCAGCATCATGACAAAGCACTTCTTTGGTCTCCCTTGTGTGAATCACTTTTGATAAAGCCCCATTATCTTTGCACGCCTTTTACCATCTCCCAAGTATCTGATCCATTTAATATAAGATTATTGATTCCTGGTTGCCTTTGTGGAATTGCTTTTGGCTGCTTGTTACACAAGAAAATAGAAGAGATTCATGCACAGTTACCTAGTATGTGTGTTAAAATGCAGCCCAAAATCAAGATTCGAATGGTACTTTACTGACCCCTGCACAGATCTATAAATTAATGTAAAGATTGACACTGTCATCATGCTTGCATGAGTTTGATATGTTGGTCTGGGGTTTTGCCATAGGGAAGTTGTCTGTCAGAGTTGGGGGCAAGTACTTGCAAGAGCAAGGCTCTACATTTTGCTTTTTTTTTTGTCTTTTCTTAAAGTGTGGGAGGCTCTGGCAGCACAAGTGTTTCTGATTCCTGCAGTGACCATTTCACCATTGAAACTTGCAAGGAGACAGAGATGCTGAACTACCTCATTGAGTGTTTTGACAGAGTTGGAATAGAGGAGAGAAAAGCACCAAAGGTACTTTGAAAAGAGTAAAGCAATATTTGAGCATCAGTTTGATCTCAAACAGTTTTCTTCATTTAGCTGTATTCAGACGGGAAAGATGGTTCATAACAGAGGAAAACCTAGAAAGGTTTAATGAAACGTAGTCTTACAAGTAGATCACTGAGATTTAATCTCTGTTCCCTTAAGTCAGGGGTCAACAACCCCCGGCATGCATGCCGAATATGGCACGCGAGGCCATTTTCCTCAGCACGTGTTGGGGCCAGGGCCAGGCCGGGGAGGCAGCAGCCGTTTGCAGCCTCCTGGCTGCAGCCGGCCCTGGCTCTGCATAGCTGCTGCCAGTCAGGAGCCCAGGCTGGGAAGATGGAAGGCCTGCTGCAAGTAGCCCAGGCTTCATGGCTATCAGCAGCTACCCAGAACCTGGGCTGGCTGCAGCCAGGTGGCTACAAACAGCTGCTGCCCCCCAGCCCCAGATCCAGTCCTGGGCTCCAGGGAGGCAGCAGATACCAGCGATGCTCCCTGCTGTGCTCCCCTCGCTGCCGCTTCTGCAGAGCAGCGTGTGAAATCTGGCGTGGCAGGACACAGCAGGGGGCGCAGAAAGTTGCTCCGAGCTCCCCACTGCCCTGGCCGCACTGCCCCTGCATGCGGGGCAGTACTCCAGCACCTTCCAAGGTAGGCATTGCGGGGCTTTTTGGCAGTTCGGCCAAAAAACTTTGCCTACCCCTGCCTTAAGTCTTTCTTCCATGCTCAGAACCCCTCCTGTAGTAGTTTTACATCTGTGGCATGGACAGGGTTTTGGGAAATGATGCATGTCTTTCTTTGGTTTTCGTGACGATGATTGATTCCATACAGAAGCAGATCTTGGTGAGAGTAGGAACCTGGCAGAGATTTTTATCTTGCTATTAACCTGAACCCATTCCTTTGTTGACAGTGGTACAGAAAATATTTAATTTAGCTCTCTAAATATAGTTTGGAGAATTTTAATCAGGAAGGTTGCCTCCTCTTTGCTTAAGCTGCACAAATACACAAGTCCCCTGAATTTCCTGTGTCTTGTTTCTGAACCTTTTCAGTTGTCATTGAAATAATTTGGCTTTTCTAATACTTTTGTTAGATGTGTAGCCAGCCAGCGGTTAGTCAGTTACTGAGCAACATCCGATCTCAGTGCATTTCCCATGCTGCTTTGGTACTACATGGTTCCTTAACACAACCAAGGTGAGTATGGCTCATGTTGATTAAAAAGGATGCTAGTTCTCTGTTGGGTTTCTCTTTCCATGGAATTAGATAGAGGAACTTAAGATCAGCTGCAGAAGTGGCATGTATTTTCAGTCATGCAAATGGTATTTTCTACTGCAGTGACTAGGAGAATAACAACACCAGTGCACCGTAAGTGTCTTAATAGGGATTTTCACTCATCACTATAAAGGTTTATCAGTGGCAGTATAATGTGTGGTATAAACAAGCCCTAGGTATTTGGAGGGATGATATGAACAGTTAAACTATATTTGACTTGCCAAAATCCATGTAACTAGGATATTGACAAGCATATGAATTTAGAGCAAGCTAAAGGGTCAGGGCTTTATCATGTACTCTGAATGTGCCTACTCTTATACTGCAGGAAGTGAAAGCTAGATTGTGTAACTCTGACCCTCTTTCATTTAAAACTAATTCTTTGTTAATTTTCCTAAAAATAATGTCAATCATTCTTTTTTTTCTTTTTTTTACGTGAACAGCAAACGTATGTTTGAGTATAATAGTGGGGAAAACACACCATTTAGTTTCAAGCTCCCAGAGTGCGGTTACATACAGCGAGCATGTTAATTTGGAAAATATTGTGACTATAACCTTTCCATACGGCTGGAAAGACAAACAGGTGGAAATCAGAAGAACAAACCTAATGCTGTTTCTTCACCGGATGAGCCAAACAAAGGGTCTTTTCATTAGGGAGGGATTGGAGAGGAGAACCATTTAATTTACAGAAGCCACTGTTTCCGTCCAGCCTCATTAAACTGAAGTATGCTGTTAGTAGCAGTATCCGTTGCAGAAAATTCTTTGTTCAGATGACTTGAGAAACTTGGTTACCTGCTTCTAAAAGAAGTAGCTGTCTCCCTGCTGAGGCTTTCTTGTCTGATACATCATTAAATCTGGTGCCTCTTTATTTTTTCCTAAAAAATGTCCCTTTTTTGCATGGCTAAAGGTTATTGCAGCAGCAGTCTCTGCTGGTACCATACATGCTGTGTAGGAACCTCCCGTTTGGCTTCATCCAAGAATTGGTGAGAACAACCTACCAGGATGAAGAGGTGTTCAAACAGGTAAGGGGCTTGCCCAAGTCAAGTACGCTACTGTTTGCTTTCTGAGCTTTCCAGGGGAGCGCTTTCTGCAAATCGCATCCTGAGAGTGTAGTGCTGAGAACTGTTATTCCAGGGGCTGGTGCAAGTCTGCTGTCTAATTTAATATGGGGGATGGAAGGAATGACGGAGCTCTGAAGTTTTACTTAAGCAAGCAAATAATGTGAAATTCTTCTGTATATCAAAATGTAGTATAAAGCAAACTTCTTAACATACAGCACTCCTATGTAATGTAGAAGCACACTCCCAGATGGCTTTGGTGTATGGTAGCCTCGCGTAACAGGGACTGTCACATTTTCTGAGCATTCTTCCAAACTTACCCCTCCAGTCAGATCCGAAACTCAGCAGTCTTCCAAGATCACATGCTCAAAATGTTGTGGTTTTGTGTCCATCTGCAAAGGATAGAGCAAATTAATAATATAATACTTTGCATCTATAACATGTTTCACTCAGGGATCTATAAGCACTTTACAGATGGCAGCTCACTGAAGTGTCATTTTACAGATGAGGACACTGAGACAGAGAGAAATTAAATGACTTTGCTGAAGGTGCCAGGGTGAGGTCAGTGAAAGATTCAGGAGTTGGAACTGAGTTATCCTGTTTGCTAACGTGCTTTAATTATTAGGCCAATGTAATACAAAAGCAGGCCAATGTACTACTAGCTAATGTAATACAAAAGCAGGTTAGTCAGGTTATAATTGTCTTTAATTAGCACTCTTGAACATGGGTGACATGACTTATTTATAGAGAAATGGAATTCAAAACAGTGTGAACAGACTAATATCTTAAGAAGTCTAAAGAAATGCTAAATTTATTTTTACTCCTGATTAGTATGATAAAGAGCCATCAGTACTGGCTGGCAATGGCTTTTGTAAAGAAATGTTTAATCCACGGAGCTGAATGCTTTCTGCAGACTCTTCTGTTTTAATTATCGTATGTTTACACAAATGAGTGCAAAAGAAACTATTAATTCCTACCTGGGATTAAATATCAACATGTAGAGTAAACAGGTCACTTTAATTTACAGGTTACTTCTTCAATGGGCTCTTATTATCAGTGTTTGCTTTAACCAGGAGTATGTGTAAGGCACTTTTAGGGAATGGTTATAGAATACTTCTGAAGTCCAGCGTATCCTAAAGGTTAGAACCATTCCCCTAACTGGATTAGGGAACATATGTATTGTAGCCATCTTTCATATCAGTGTAATGGTATTTGTGTACTGTTGTTCAGGAGGCCCAGGACAGTTCTCTTTAGGTTTCCGTAGTCATTCCTGTGTTGCCCAGAATCAGTGTTTGATCTTATTGCATAAGAAATGATTCCCCGTGCGTCTGTGTGACGTAGTCTTTATAATTGGGTGTCATCATGTTTAGCTAATCATTTCCTCCCTTGGTACTTCCTCCTTTGCATCCCTTAATGATTGCTGTTGTTTTGTTAATGCTTGTCATAGCATTAACATTTACCGGGATAAACACCAAACCTACTGACTCACTGTGATGATGAAAAAATGTTGTCTCGTGAATAGGCGTACAGAGGTCTGAATGGTTCAGCTGTCAAGCTGTTGGAGGGAGGCCTAGAGCTCAGTAGTGCTGTCTTTTGTGTGTTTGTGTGTGTGCATGTGCGTCCACCTGTAGTTCACCACCTATGTGTTGAAAGACTTATGTAATGGTCCTGAGGAAAACTAAACAAGCAATCAAGCCGCTAGTCTCGTCAAGGGTGATGGCTTTATTACTGTTGCTGAGCTTTGGTGCGTTTCATTAGTTTTATGTCCCCATCCAGGTCAGCATGTTACTTTTGATGAAGTGAAGATCTAGGCAAGATGTCTTTCTCAACATGTTATGGGGTGAACTTCATTGCCTGAAGAACATAGGAATTAGACTTGAGCTCATTTCTAGCTTCAGGATTCTTTCTCTCCCTCACCCTACAATTAAACATGGAAATGCCTTTTAAAATTATGTAAATTAACAGAGCAAGCCTTAAGTTTTTTGGGTTTTTTTTTTTCCCATATATTAACATTTGAGAAGTGAGTGACGGTTTACACAGTGCAAAGCTGTGGTTTCATTTATTATTGTTTTCCATTGCTGAAGTGTGTAAGTAATATACTTCTGTTTTTACAGATTTTTATCCCCATCTTACAAGGCCTGGCTCTTGCTTCCAAAGAGTGCTCCCTTGATAGTGACAATTTTAAATACCCTCTTATGGTAAGAACCATTCCTTTCTAGCAGCTCTTGCTTTAGGATGCCTGGTACTTAATACAGTCTGTCTTCAAGCTAATGCCTTTCTTGGATTGTTTCAACTTCTTATTAAGCACTCACCTCATGTTGAAAATGTCAAGTGGTAGGACTATATAAACATATAAAGAAATAAAATAAAATAACCAGATAGAATATTTACTCCATGAGTGTGTGCTCCTTGTATATCCTCAAGACAAAGCTTCTAATTTTACTGGTGGAACCAAAGGCAGCACTGTTATCCAGTATGGCTCAAGACCATGAGCTGGGTTCTCTCGTCTCTCGTATACCACCGGATAAATTCAGACTGCAAGATACCATGGATAATGATTGAGCCACAAAAAAAACGTGGCCTCAAATCTTGGGTTGAGTTTGCAGTTCCAGCAATTAGCTTAACCACCTTGGGATTCTGCAGCTTAAAAAGACCTGATGGTGAGGTTGCTTAGCTACGTCTTAAAAAGAGACATTGTAAGGATCCTCTTCAACTTGAGATCCCTCCAGCGATCCTTCAAGCTACAAATCGATATTTACACTGATAACCCAGAGATAGCAGAGCTCCAAACTAGCTCTCTTCACAACCAACCCATGTCATTTGTAGG